GAAGCAGTCGTAGCTTGTATTGGCACAGCACGCCATTTGCGTGAACGAAACTCGACAGCAACAAGAGATGTGTTTTTTGAAACAAAATGATTTATTTCTAAATGAAAGATATCATCCTTGCGTCTGTTGCATTGACCCATGAAGTTTTACAAAATATAGAATGAAAAGCATAGTGACTATGAAATAGAATGAGAGAATATGGTGTTATTTTGACACAAATTATTTCCAACCAAAAAAAAAAAGTGGTGGTTCAGAGGGTCCGGCCCATTGGGCCATGTTGGGCCCGAGCGGCGCCGGCCCGTTATCCTTCCACTGCCGGGAGCGGGAGGTCTTCGCTGCTCTGTGAAGCCAGCCTGACGCGGACCCCTCCGCTTTAGGACCCACGCGGCCCAAGCCTTCGCTCGGCCCGCATGGATCAGCTCTCGGCTTGGAACGGACGGGCCAGATTAGAGCCGCATCAGGACCGACCCGCAGGATCCGGACCCATGTTCCACCACATTGGTGCCCCCACTTGGGTCACAAGCCCGCGCAACCGAGCTCGGCGAGCATCATCGATAACTGTGCATCTTATGAACTGGCTTCTGTCCAGATATTCGGTCGATGTGGGATATCCCTTCGTCACTGCTCATGTCTCTCTGCGCACGGTTCTGAAACTCCATGGGTTTCGAACTTTCCTCAATGCCCCGCTATTCTTTCCACGGAGAACCGACCAATCCATGGCTGAAAGCTAGACCCCGAGCGAAATCATGATCGGAAAGCGCCACAAAACCTGGGACTGAGCATGTTCTTCTACGTGGGAACAATTGGGCCTGAGCACGTTGGTTTGTGCAGCTACAAAGCGCAATGTTCAGGACATAAGAAGCGCCGACGAAACACAAGTCGTCAGTGGTGGTGTTGTCGTTGTCTCCCAGGTGAATCCATGTAACGAGCTCAGGCCAACAATCGCATCTCGATGCGGTTCTTATCTTGTCTCCTCTAGTTTGCATCGCTTGCTTATTCGAAGAACCGTGGCAAAATGACGAGCCTTCGTACATGTCTATCCGTGCAATTCATCGTGCCTATTCTAAGGGGACTGCGCTTAAGCCTCTGTGCAAGAACTACGGAGCTCCCCAAAACTCGGCGCGTAATACCTCCAAATTGCAAGTTAAAAGAGTTGGATGAGTAGCTTCTCTGACCATAGATATAATATGGTCATAAAAATCATCTTGTTAATATGCACAATTTGAGATCTGGGTCATGTTAATATGCACAATTTGAGATCAATTCGAGGCCTTTCTTAGCTTCTTTACTCGGTACCATTTCGTAAAATTGATGAGCATATCCCTACAATTTTTATGGAATTTACTGTGCTTCGAAACCACTTTTGTGGGCTCTGATGTTTCCACTTAGAAAATGGAATAAAATTCTTCTTCCTAATAAAAAAAGGAACTTAATACATGATTTGAGTATCGTTGAATATATGGTTGAAGTATAAGCTCGATTTCGATCATGATCACGTATATGCATAATTTGAGATTAATTCGAGGCCTTTTATGTTTGTGAACGGTACTTTATACGAAAGTAATGCTTGTATTTTCATCTATGTTGCATTTTATACTTCAAACTTCACGCTCATGTCAGAACATAGCCAAAGTTTGATTTGACCGATTGAGCAGTGAGTAGGTCATCCGATCAACTAAGAGGGCATTGAGTATTTTCCAATGTCGAGCTCACATGTCAAAATACTATCTCACGTCAGATACTGAATTAGCGGGTTCTCAGTATCGGCTCCGCTAAAGCCTACGAAAGTGAAAATGCAATGCCCAGAAATTAATCGATGATGAGACACCTAGGATGTACAATAAAGATATACACCGAAATTTAATCAATGACATGAATCTGAAACTATAGTTAAGAAATACATTAGAATTTAATGCCCAACGCAAGTCTGAAAACCATAACTATTGCGCAGAAAAGTAAAGATAATTAAGATATAACAAGTCTATTTGTTTGTGCACGGAGGGCCTTCAGTAGATGAATGCTAGCATTTACGCCATAATCATATGGAAGCATTTCTCCTGCATTATCGCCATGCCTTCTTCTTATCTCCGAAAATCTTGTGCCCGTGCTCTCATGATGCTATGATCTCATCTTCAAGAGGTCTTGAAATCTCGTCTTGATCCTTCGTGTCTATCTATTGCCACGTTCATTCTTTTTTCCTTGAATTTGTTGCTGCATTCACAAGTAGTTTTTAAATTTGAAATTCTCTAATCGCATCTGGATGCCCTCTAGGTATCCGACCTTCTCCCGGTGTTTCAATCGGAAATCTAATAACCTTTTTAACTAATATCCTTATCGACTATTGCTAACCATACGCAGTCGTATACCGACAATTGATTAATAATCATCGATGTATATCAATATCGAAAATAATTCTTATGGTTGTCGATAATGGCTCATGCGTTTAACAATAACTTGCACTCTAACCACGTGCGAACATGCTTCCTAGAACTTTTGGAGAATTGATTTATTCTTTTTTTTTCACTAGAAACAGCTTGTTCGCAAATTGTTAATTACGGGCCGTCGTAATCGAAAGTAACCGTAGGGTGAAACAGCATTTTGTTTTTTGGTCGAACTGAAACAACATTTGAAGAGTAGGATTTATCGACCAAAACGGTAAATATTAAACCATACAGTAACAACGAAATGTCTGGCTAATTGTTGAGTAGAGTTTAGCATTTTAATTGATTTTATATTAGGATAATTCATACGCTAAAGTTTAAAGTTCATAGCCTTTGAAATTCGCATGGCTTTTTTCGGCCTTATTTTCGAGTGGTTTTCTAAAATCGGTGTTGACTCTTCGTGTTACGAAGCAGAAGCAATTGTAACGCGATATCACATGCAAAATCAATATGATGAAGGTATTAACTTATACCATTGGATATATATGTATATCAAGTTCCTGGGAATAAATCTCGACTCGTTCCTAAATGAAATAAATCATTCCCCAATTTATTATCATTACATATTCTTTACTCTAGTTTTATCATCTCCGTGGGAATAAATCTCGAACTATTCCTAAACGAAAAGAAAATATTCCCACATTTATCGCACTGTATTTTCTTCATATTAGTTCTGTTTTTTGCCTTTTCACTTATAAAAAAATTGGCAAACGACATGAAATTGTGAAGAAAAAAAAAAAGTGGTGGTTCAGAGGGTCCGGCCCATTGGGCCGTGTTGGGCCCGAGCGGCGCCGACCCGTTATCCTTCCACTGCCGGGAGCGGGAGGTCTTCGCTGCTCTGTGAAGCCAGCCTGACGCGGACCCCTCCGCTTTAGGAGCCACGCGGCCCAAGCCTTCGCTCGGCCCGCATGGATCAGCTCTCGGCTTGGAATGGGCGGGCCAGAAGGTAGCCGCACCGAGCCCGACCCGCAGGATCCAGACCCATGTTCCACCACATTGATGCCCCCACTCGGGTCACAAGCCCGCGCAACTGAGCTCGGCGAACTGCGTTGGTAACCGTGCTAGTTATAAACTGGGTTTTATCCTGTTACTTTGCCGATGTGGGACTTTTCCTGCACAGGTTTTTCTTGCATCGCTTCACTTTCGTCGCTCTGCGCACGGCTCTGAAGCTCAATGGGTTTCGAATTTTCTTCGACGTGCGCTATTCCTTTAGATCGAGAAGCAGCCAGTCCATGGCAGAAAGCCGGATCCCGAGTAAAATCACGAGAGAGAAAAACACTGCAAAAGATGGACCGAGCATGTTCTCATATGGGAGAACTCTTGTCGTTCTCGGTTCTACTGTCCAGTCTTTCGAGTCTCTTTGTCGTGAAATGTTAAATCCGCGAGATGGTGATTTTCTGTTCTCTTGGAAGGGAAAGACCAGGAGCGACTCATCTCTTTCTTCTCTGCGAGAAGCGGTACTAACAGAGACGGAAATTGGGCCTGACCACACTGACTTGTGCAGCTCCTGAGCGCAATGTTCTGGACCTAAGAGGCAATGACGAAAACAAGTCTGGCGTTGGCAGCATCTTAGTCATCGTCCAGGTGAATCCACGTAACGAGCTCGGGCCGGCAATCGCATCTCGATGAAGTTCTTGTCTTGTCTCCTGTAATTTGCATCATCGCTTGCCTGGTTGACGAACCGTCGCAAGATGACGAGTCTCTGTTTGTGGCTATTGTTCATCTTATCGTGCCTAAGGATCCTGCACTTAAGTCTCTCCGCGAGAACTACGGAGCTGCCCTAAAACCGGTGGTGGACTACCTTCACATTGCAGGACAAAAGGAGTTGGATGAGTAACTTCTCTGACCATAGATGTATTCTGCTCATAAGAAAGCATCTTGTTGTACTGAATATGCAGATAGGCTTAATCTATTCCAGAGAATTATAAACTCGATTTCGATCTGGGTCACATTTATGCACAATTTGAGATCAATACAAGGCCTTTCTTAGCTTCTTAACTCGATGCTATTTTGCAGAGTTGGTTTGCACCTCTTGGCAATTTTTACGGAATTTACTTTGTTTTGAAGCTTCTTTTGTGGGCTCTGATAATCCAACTTAGAAAAAGGAATAAAATTCTTCTTCCCTCTTGAATATGGGTTGACTTTGCTTCAAGCGTAATTTTATCCTCGGCTGGCCTTAGCCGAGTTTTGTCGGTGAAGGACAATTTCTTTGCAACTAAGTTAGTCTAATAAGAGAGATCAGATTAATTGGAATAATGTATGTGCTATAATCTACGTAACGAAAATTAAAGGATGATATCGACTTTTTATATAAAGTGGATAGATAAATTCTATTTAAGGGCATTTGGGAAATTATAATTTAAAAATTTGTTCGACAATAATTCGATACAAATTTCTTTTAATGAATAAGAAGATTTGTAAAAACAAAAAGGAGAAAAAGGATTAAATTTTCTTTTGGTCAATAAGAAAAAGAGGAGGATTAAATCAAGACCTACACTTTCGCACGTGTGGTTAGCCGAAGCGTATCTGCACAAAACCGCGACTCGTGGGGGACTTGGGTTGGGTTTTACAGTCCCCTTCTTCCTCCTCCTCTTCCTCTTCCTCTTCCTCCTTCCTCCTCTGGTCGATACCTGCAAATTTTTGTTCTGGGTTTGGAATCTCTTGAATCCGAGTCGACCCATTCTTCTGAAGATCCTAATTCGATCGAGAAGAAGGTCGGAGCTGAAGAAAGCGACGAGTGGGGCGACTGATATGCAGCACATGAAGAGATCGGCCGCGTGTCTCAACGTCCGATGGACCGGTTTGATGAGACTGCGGAATGGGTCGTCTTCTCTGCCGGACCTCCAGCGTTCGAGTTCGGTGTCCGAGGTGGGCCTGTCTTCGTTCTCGTCGTCGGCAGTCGCCACGAGCAGTCGCAGCAAATCTGTGAGGACCCTTTATTTTTCAAGTTCATTGGGTGTAATGCTCACTGTGATGAGAAATGCGGGTGCTCGAGAATGTATATGTATTGGGCTGCATGCAAATTTCTTTCTTTTTTTCTTCTTCTGGAGGCGAGGCATTCAGTTCGTATTGTTCAATCTTGTTTGTTGTGGATGTTGCCTCTTTACTGCTTGTTGATGATTTGACCAGAGGATGTGAAGTTTCAGTTTTGGTTTTGTGCTAGCTGTGGGAGAGGATCTCTGTTTTCGTTCAATTTTGAGTCACAAGCCCGTTAAGGAGGATGAGATATATGTGTTGTGGGAGATTCTCGTTATATTGGAATTGAAAACATTAATTATATTTTCTGTTAATTGCTCAGCCTGCTTAGGAGTACTGGGTGATTTGGAAAGTTGCTAGTGCGATAACAAATGGTTTGTTAGTAATGGTACCAAGTTTTGACATTCCGGGCTAAATTCATGCTCTTCCTCATTGACCATTCGAATGTACTAGCTTGATGTTTTGTGGATCTAATTCCAAGTGGCTATTTTCCCTTACTCTTGAATATCCCAGCAAATTGGCAATGCAGATAATGACTGGTCATCTTTTCCTTTTCTCTTCTTTGTAGTGCTAAATAAATTATTAGCTTGTAGATGAAAACTATGTTGATGCTTTGTCCGTGATGCAATTTTTTCACCGGACATAGTCTTCAGTACAATTGTTGAGTGCGGTCATTCCGAAAACTCTGTACTGGTTGATCCTTGTGGCACCCTTTGTCTATCTGGCTGTTTTTGAGGATTATACTCTCTATTTTGTCTAAGATAGTTACTTGTTGTGAAATTGGGTTCGTAGAAAGCTTGATCATTGTTGGGTTCTTTTTATTGCTCAATAGGAGTTCCGATTTACTTGCATACTTATGGAGCCTTGACTTCCATTTGTTTATAAAAGGAAGAAATTGTGTAGGATTTTATCTAACAATTGAATCAGGGGAATTATTTTGTTGCCGTGATAATACTGATTTGGTTAAATATGGTTCAATCAGTTTCTGAAAACCATTGGTTATATAGATCCACGAATTGAAGGTACTATATTACTAGTTTTTTGCCATTCTCGTGATGTCATTTTTCATGGTATTAATTGTGGATAATCAAAACGATGGTACTTTTGTCCAGTTCTTTCACCAAGAGTAAGCCTTGCTCATAATTAATGACTGGCTAGATTTCCTTGTATCCATCTTTCTCAGCTTATTTGCTTTATATTTGGTATGTGTCACCTTATGGGAAGTAACTTTAGATGTGTGACTGGAATTTGTTCTACTGATCAATTTCAGGGTGTATTTAAGTCGGGTTATGTGAGAAGTACACTTCATACTGAACTTATGACTAAGGTGATGTAGTGGTCTTCTCACTGTTTTAGTGTTTGGTTCGAAATTGAAAACTGAAGTTCCTTTCTTTTAAATAATGCAGGGGATACTTGGGGCCAAAGGTTAGCCACTGACATATGAATATATCCTCACGCTGCTTCTGCTTAGAATATGTGTTGCTTGTTGCTAGATGAACTTGTTGAGCCATGCTATAATTTATTGCTGCATATATGTGTGTTAAGTTTTTATGACGTGGGCAGTAGTTGTGTATCCATTCTCGAAATATTTGGATGTGGAGCCACAATAGTACCTAATCGCTATAATTTGAAAGTTGTATATGCGAATGTTCAGCTATATGCTGATAAATTTGGATAATTACAGTTTGGAGCGTGAACATTAAACTTGATTTAGAAATCGACAGTGCTCCACAATTCAGTGAAACAAAAATTCGTTCTTTATTTCAGAACCTAACAATTCTTTGGTTTTTATAGGTAGTTGTGATTGCCCCTAAGATGAATGCTTGTTTATACAACAATAATGATTTCTTATTCTAAATGTTATTTTCAGGAATCCATGTGCCCTTAAGAGTGCTACACAATAGGAAAGGTATAAGGCTATCCCCATCACAGCTCCTGTATACAGGAGCCAATGTAGATTGTAGAATCCCTTCGTTATCCAGATCCTTTGCTTCCCGATCTTCAGAGAAAAAGGGAGAGACTGCATCAGAGGTTTGGAACTTTCGAGTTGTTTCTTGATCATAGTCTGCTTAGCATATATAGTAGTCCAAGATGAATTTTTCAGAGAACGTGCTTTATTTCCGGGCTGTTTTGCTATCTGCACTTGTGCTCTCAATAGCATATTTTGCATTTTATACATTTTCAATTGAGTGAAAGGGAGTAAATTTGACTTTGGATTATGCTTGGGATACCAAAAACTTCTACTAAAGCTTGTTTGCAAAGGGATGTGACAAAATTTTGTTGGTGATTGAACATTGGTCACCTGTTTAGATACTAGTTTAGAGTATCATATTCTGGCATTGCTCTCTGACTTTGGTCCCGTCAGAAGTAGGAAGTAATTCCTATTCAGCTTCTATGCTTTTGATCTCCTAAAGTTAGTGCAACTCATTCCAGTTAGATATCATTTCTTCTCTCACTTTTGTTTGCTTAATGTTTGTTGACTTAAATGCAACTGCAATATTGTAGGATGAGATCAAGTAGATGAATCATTGACAAGCTTAGCATTATTTATAAGAATTTGGAGATTTTGCTTACTATTATATTAGTAACTTGATTTTAGATTGAGAAAGTACGGGTAATCGGTATCTGCTCTAATAGTTTATGGTAATGGTTAGCCATGTTGTAATATCGCTGAATATTCTTGAGAGATCCATTCTAGTTGTAAATAACCATTACAATTTTCCCTATCTTTCTCTCTGGAAACTTATTTGTTGTTGTTTTACAGACAAAGAAGGATGTATCTACAATTGAAGATCCCTTTGATGCTCCTACCTATAACATACCTGAAAAACCTGTCACGTTTGTAGAGGGGGCTTCATACAGTCTCATCATTCTTGCGGGGCTTGGCATTGCAGCTGCTGCAGCATATGGTGTTTTCAATGAGCTCATATTCCAACCAAAAGAGTAGGAAATATTTTCTCTTTCTGAATATGGACGTTTGGTTTTGAATTTAGAGAACTGACTTCTTACTACGTTGTTTGTGACCATAGTGCTCTCCTCTGGCAGGTACAAGATTTTCAACATGGCTCTGAAAAGGATTCAAGATGATAGTCAGGTTTGTACGTATATATATATGAGAATAAAAACCCTTCATGCCTTTACTGGTACACCGTTGTGGCAGGCCCAGAAGATGATTGATTTTGGCTTTGGGGGCATTAGTCAAATTGGTTAGTTCTGGCTATGCCGCCCCTCAATCAATTATTAATCACTCATTGAGCTCAGGTAGCTCCTTTAGTCAGACTAACTGAAACAAGAGGAATTCAGGAAAATTCCTTTTATGTGTATCTTGCCTAAGATGTCATCTCTGCCTATGTCAACCGTTGAGAATGTACATACTACAAAAATGATGAAATATGGATTCAAAAGCTTAGCGCTCGTAATAGCTTTTACTTAGATTTGGAAAAGCAACGACCTCAAAAGCATGGCTGTGGACCAGAATTTCTGAGGAAAATAAATGAACCTTTTCATCATATTATGAGCCTACGTTACTGGCACAATCTAGTCCAGGTTTGCTCGTGCAAAATTTAAGCTGAAAACCACCCATGTGCTTTTGAGTGTTAACTTGTCATGGCAGCCTTGTGGTTTTAGTCACCTGAGCAGACTTATGATCATGGTTGCAGTCTAAATTGCTTCAGCTCAGATCCTTGTCACTGTCTATTCACAATTAACTCAGATTCTTTCTATCTGGTTTTTTCTCTAAGAAATATTTCTTGTGCCTTAATTGTCTTGAATCAGGTTAGGATAAGGATTGGATCACCAATCACTGGATATGGTCAAGAAAGTAGGAATCGAGCTGCACGCCAACGTATTCCACACAGGGTCTGGACTGATGAAGATGGTGTAGAGCATATTGAGGTGACACAGAATTATGAAAAAATACAATCTTTCGGTTATATCTTACCTTTTGTATCCATGAATTTGATGTCGAGAGTTTTCAAATTGTGAACTTTAATGGTCACTATTAGAAGGCTATTTTATCTATTGTTTGTCTCCTCTTTTATTCCTTTGTGGAATAGAAAAATCATTCATGCATTTTGTTTTGCCCAACAACTCTTCTAAAACCCTTTCTCTGTTATTTCGCGCCAACTATTCTCACACAGGTCAATTTCTATATCCGTGGGCCCCATGGAGCCGGAAAAGTTTTTTGTCGAATGTTTAAAGACAAAGTGGAGAAGCAGTGGAAGTTCACAAGTTTAATTGTCCAGATCATGTCACCTTCCCCTGCGCAATTGTTATTGGAGTCTTATGTGCCAGCTTAAATAATCTGAAGGACTCATTTGACAGAGATGAATCGCACTTCTGCCTTATTTATTGTGGAGTAGATCTCAGACCAAGTCAAGTTAAAGGTATTTTTTAGGATGGTAAAATTTCTGTATCTTTTTTCTTTTTCTCATTTTCATATTTTGATATCAATGGCAAGAGCGCGAGGGGAGTTTTGTAGCATCTCCGCAATTTTCTAGCCTGGATTAGTTTTTGGTTTTGTTTTTAAAATTTTATTTTTTTCCTATTTTCGACCTGAAGAGGAAACTCCTTTCACTTTCTTCATAATGAATGCTGCTGATTTAATGAGTGCACTGTAGATGCTTCTACAATGCGGGCTTGGAGGTTTTACTTGTTAGTTTAGTTCATGCTTGCTGATTTGCAGTGTGGCAACAAGCATAAGTCCTTGAGTTTGTTGTATATTGGTCTCAGTCCTGGTTCATCAAGATATGGTGCACAATCCTCTTATCCATTGCTGGCTTGTTGTAAACTGCTATTTGATCATTATTTTCACAGGTGTACCAGTGTTCAGTAAACACTGGACATCTTGCTAGTTCTTCGGCATTAACTCTTTGTTATTGGCATAATAATTGTATTACGGTTTAGAGTGTGGCTTGACTATCATTCTTTTGCTTTATGTTCGTCAATTCATAAAGCTGGTGGAGTTAGATCTCACTCACCGTGTTTATGGATTTGGTGCCGCAACCCGTTGTGAATTTTTCCTCCCAGATAATCTCTGCATCTTCCACTTCTCTATTGGTTTTGATATATTGTAGCCCTCATAGGATCTTAGCACTTTGTGGTATATTTCCGGACCATCTCGATGGTTTCGGGGAACATGAGGTCCAGTGACTCAACAGTTCCTAATTTCTTCAGAGATCGAGGTACTTAGTATGATCACTGTTTTCGTAGCAGGTGCTCATATTTTTTGCTTCTAATGCTTTGCTTTTTTGGTTGGTCTGTAATGGATATATGAGGGTAGTACGTATTAACAAGCTATTGGATTTGTCAAATGTTATGAGTGACAAGGTAATAAGGTCTGCTTAGGACATTACAATGGACGAGTGTGAGAAGGCTGTTTGTCAGACTCGGTCCATGAACTGCGGTTGTGGTTGATCTCTATGCAATGCCATGCTTGTTTGAGGGCCTAAAACATTATAGGACGTGAGTCCATTTTGTGGTTACCTATGCATATAATGCTATCCTTAGCATTTAGGTTGGTGTCGACCCACGAGATCCAATGAATCACATGGACTACACATATCGAGCCGGCCATAACTTCTCCCCGGACTAGCTTAACTTATACCCAATAGCTAGCTCTTTTGGCCGAAGGCATTGACAAGGCTTCGAAGTTAAGAAAGATTTCGAAGCGAGTTGCCGTTGCTATTGCGTGATGGGTTGAGGGGGTAAAAATGAGTGACATTGTTAGATGTCCAGCCCCTTTGGTATCAAGAAATTGACTATCAACTGACCGTTTCTTTTTAATGGAGCTCTCTTCACCTTTTCAATATCCATAGACTTTGATATTAGTTGTTGTTTGCCCTTGAGAATATTTGAGATCAAATCCAAACATAATTGAATCATTGATGTTAGTCATATCTAATTATAAAATGGATTTTCAGTCTAATCTTTGGTATCCCATGTTGATATTGGGCTAAATTAAAAAAAAAAGGCATATACTTTTTATGTTTGGGACAATTTTGATCCAACCTTTGAAAAAAAACCTACAAGAAAGCAGAGTCAAATGGGTACTTTTGGTATAAATTGTTGAAGATTTCGAAAATACCCATGGAAGAAATTTGGCCTTTGTTTCCTTTCTCGATCAAAGACCACCTGATCTAATTTTCATGTCATCGGGATTATTCAAATCTTCGTCAATTATATATTCGCCTGGATCAATTATTGGAACAATTCTGATGCCGTCTATAGAGACAATGACATAGGCGACCCCATGAAAAAGGTAGAAAATATTTTCTACATGTGTGAACAATTTTCGGCAAAAGAAAAGACTCCAAGGGCTTGACTTAATGTAAATCAAACTTCATAAGCCCTAGTTATTTTAGTCATTGGGTCCTTTTCCTAAACTTTTGGAACAAGTGATAACGTGTTAGATATGAAACCGTGCCAACTAATATAAATGTTTTATCAATCTTAGATGATTGCCTGTCCACAAGCCTTCCCATATTTCAACAAAAATTAAATACTTTAATAGAAAAGCTAATGTGTAGGAAGTAAATCAATGCGATTGGTCCTTTATAGTATGAAGCGTTCATTAAATAAGACTAGATAATGTTGCCTCAAGTATGATGCAATAAGAATATACCTAACTACGGGTTGTCGGGACTCATATTTAAGTACAAGTCTAAGTCATTGATTATTGTAAAAAAGACCGATGTTGTCCGAAGAAAAAGAGATAACCTAGCTTCGATCAACCTTTGTCCACCTCTCATGACCTTACTGAAAAAGAGACGACAGATTAGAACTTTTTTAAGGATGGTCACTAAAATTGCCACAATGCTTTTTATATACATGCGATCTCCTTCCGTTTAATAGCTTCAGTTTTTAAGTTAGAGTTGCTAATATGGTATCAGAATCAGTGCTATGATTTTTCGTGTATGTGCCTCCACCTACCGCTCTTAATATTGTCCACATCGCTTGATATACATGTTCTTCATATATATGTTGTCTCCCTTCGTCTAATAGGTTAAGTTTCGGGTTTTCTAACAAAAAAACAATGGCCATGGTCCAATGCATGTGTATCTTCTTCTTTTCACCGTTGGTATTCTGCAACCTTCGCTGAGATATGCTAAATTTTCTAAGTGCTAAATTTTCTAAGTCATGGTACAAATTTTTTCCTGTGGAGTCATCGGTTTGCTATTACTTTTTTCTTCTTTTCTTTTTTTAACACCTCGCCGCCCATAGGCCTAATCTGGGCGAGGGTATCGTGCCCTCACTGGCCACGAGCAAGGGTGTCATGCCTCACCTAGATCCAAGCGAGGGCCACGACGCCCTTGCTTGGTTTGGGTGAGAAGGTCGCGGCCCTCGCCGGCCACAGTACTTTCATAAATGATAGAACCTACTAGTAGTAACCCCGTTCATACGATATCTTGATATGTCCTGACAACAATCAATATAGGTTTTTGTGAGACACTTGTTTTGTAGAACATGGAACTCCATCTTAGCTAGATATATCCCCGTTCATACGATATCCCATTACTCTCATAAGTCATATAACCTACGAGTAGTAACCCGAATGGACTGCTTAAAGATGAAATTTTTTACATTAGATGGTCCGAAGAATGGAACCTGTACGGTGTATCTCGTAGACCTCTACGCCAACTTCATGGAGTTGGTTCACATTTTGCTTAATAATGGAGAGATTTTTTAGAAATTGAATACAAAATTGAGAGATAGACCCCACTCTCATCAGGTTAGACTATACACGGGTCGTCAATTTTTGCATACAAACGGCAGGGGGCTTCTCTCTTGAAGTCACACAGTGAAAACTTGGGTGTTGTGTCTTGTGCAACAAGTTGGAGCTCATGCATGTAGGATGTTTTTGGTTCCGTTTAGACGAGGAGATGCAAAGACAGGTAGACATGAGGAAGAGCGTGGTAATCAAGAGCGTGGCAAGCGAGAAGTACCCAGGGGAGCTGAAAATGAGCGTAGATCCCCAAGGGCAAGAAGATGGCTATCGATTTAATGCAAAAGCTTGCTTGCTTTTTGCCTACCAATTTCCTGATCCTACGTGCCCAATGCAATCATCTTATCTAATCGGTATAACTTAGAAAGATGATAAGACCAGTGTGAAACTATCTTTTTCTTGCAATCGAGCCTCGTGATTTTTGGTATGAATGTCTCGTTGACATGATTGTATGGCTGCTAAAACCCGCGCAACTCACCGCTCTAGAATTGTTCAACGTGAATATCGTGAGCACCACCACTAACTGGTCCGATCAACGATGCATTGCTGAACATCCATTGCCATTGTTGCAAGTCAATTTGGTGGCTTGGCCGTTGTTACAGGTTAAGGAACGGCGGGTCCATATTTTTTGCAAACCGCATGTGTCACGCCCCGTACCCCACGGCACGCAACATTCCTACCTCGGTCGACAAACTGCGACGTCCCAGGAAACGTCGCCGACCCAATGCCCAACAGAGATCAAGCACAAGCGGAAGAAATAAACAAACCCTGACAATAATAAAATACGAGCCAAGGATAGCCAAGCAATAAACAACGATCAACGCAGAAAATATGTACATACTTATATTACTATTTTAAAACTCTTTTTACAGCGTTCACTACAACCAAAAAGGAAACACCCATGCAATCTCCTGACCGGAAATAAATACTTAGAAATCATAACACAACAACAATCAATGATTCTCTTACCCTGCAGGTTAGATAATTCAATATATATATATAACAATCACGGCACATACGTGGCACACATTAGACAAGAGGAGGGAGAGCGTGGTAAGCAAGAGGGTCGGCCAGGGAAGGCTGAGGCTGAGGCTGAGGTGGTCCACCGGGGCACGGTGGTCGGCGGCGGTGCCCGGTGGCCGGCGAGCTGGGCCAAACAAGAGAGTAGATCCCAAATGGGGAGAAAACTGAAGATGGCTGAAAGGGGTGGGGGAGGGGTGGGGGGAGGGGGAGGGAGATCGATTTAATGACAAAAGCTTGCTTGCTTTTTGCCTACCAATTTCTCTGATCCTACCAAAAAGTGTCCCAAATGCAATCATCATTATCCATAATCGTATCCCAAATTAGCCAAAAAATTCGATAAAGACCAGTGTGAAACTATCATTTTTCTTGCAATCGAGCCTCGTGATTTTTGGTATGAATGTCTCGATTGAATAAAATGATTTTTTTTCTAATTTTTGGCAATCAATTTTTGCTAAAACCTCTTAGCGGGCCACTCAAAAATGGCCGGCCTCTAAAAATGTTCAACGTGAATATCGTGAGCACCACCACCAACTGGTCCGATCAACGATGCATTGCTGAACATCCATGTCCTTTTGGTCATAACATGGAGCAGAAATGGAGGCGGGCAGTGCTGATGCTTGAGCTGAGATGGACAGTAACGACTAGAGAAAATAAAATGTGGAAGGAAGGAGACTCATTGCCATTGTTGCAAGCCAATTTGGTGGCTTGGCCGTTGTTACAGGTTAAGGAACGGCGGGTCCATATTTTTTGCGAACCGCATGTAATGTACAACGAAGGATACCTTTAAGAAGAATTCTTGAACTCATTCTGACGTCTTCAACTATTCTCATGTTTGTAACTTACAATAAAGAACTCGATTGGAG